TTGTTTCTGAAAGCCCGTGGACTCAAGGTGGGATTACAAAAACAATATAAAGTCTACAAGAGAAAAAGAATAACAAAAAAAACAAGTGGGATAATTGACATATGCTTGCTTAGTCTTATTGTTTAACCTTCACTGTCTAATTATTTAACCTTCAGGAGTCGTTTGGTGAGAGGAATAAAAATAAATAGTGATGAGATAAAAATTTTGTATCTTGTTTGGTTGTCATGTTTGGGATAACTTATCCACCATTTATATCATAGTGATGGAATAAGTTATACCATATGCATGGTAGGATATGTTATCCCGGAATAGCTAACCCCAGGATAACTATTTTTGGGATAACTTATTCCCAATCAAACGACCCACTGACTAATTATTTAACCTTCACTATCCAGCAAGCACCGACTCGAAAACAAAAAGCAAAGGCACAACAACTACGTTGTAACAAACCCAATAACAAGACCACTCAATTCAAATTCAAATAACCAACAAGTCTATTTTACTAAATCGTAATTGAAATTACAAAGGAATTTAAGAACTAAATAGAATTGGAAAAACACAAGTACAAGAAAGGGATGGGAAGAAGAACTCATAGAAAGGGGATGAGAGGACTTGGATATTTTCTCAACAATTTGCATATACTATTTTGCTCTCTCAAGTCTCTATTTATCAACCCACATCCCACACATAGCCACTTAATCCTGTTTTGGGCTGCTTTGTGAATATTTGTCTAGGCCCATTCATAACATACGTGAAGGCCGACGACTTTACCTTTTCACCTTACAAAACGTTCATTTCAAACGTGTCACATTTGCTTCGTGGAAATTAGTCTCTTTTCTAATATGATTACTCAACCAAAAACTTGTTTAAATTATAACAGTTATAAAGTCTATTTTATGTATCATGTACAATTTTAGTTTTTTATATATAAAAAAGGCATAATACATAAATATGACTATTAATTTGGTTTCAAATTATAACTTTGACCTTTAACTTTGATAATGCACAAAGAGACACTTTAACTATCCAATTTTTTTTTAAAAAAATACTCGAATAATTCAAACAAAACGCGTGATATACAAATGCTCTGACGTGAATAAGTGAACCACTCAGTTGCAGCCAACTAACTAAAATAAATACACCTAGATTTTAAAAATAATAAAAATAAATTATAATATAGAATACGGTGAAAGTGAAAACAAATTCATTTTTGGGAAAAAAATTACTACGCTCTTCTCCTCTTTCTTCTAAAAAAAGTCCTAATCTAAATTTCTAAAATTCATGCCCCTTATATTCAAATCAAAGAAAAAATTGTTCAAGATATGTGGAGAAATTTCATATACTTGAACGATTACCTATTCTTCTTCCTTAATTTAGTCAATGTATCAAAGTTCAACACTTTACAAACAAGAATTGCATATTGTTGGTCAGATGTTCAAGCCAATATGGGAATCACTAGAGGAAACTAATGTTTTTATTGCAAAATTATTTCAGAGCAGCCCATAAATATAGGAAGACATGAAAATCAATTAACTTTTTCTTCTTTTCTTTAGTTTGAAGTGTCTTTGTGCTTTAAGTTGTCAAATACTTGATGAAAAAAAAGGATGCTTTGTGTATTATGATTGTCATAGTGATTAGCAAATTACAATTACGAATTTTCGGAGGCTAAGAAATAAACATAGAATGCTAAAAATTATTAAGTAAAATGGTGCACTTAAGCTATTTGATAAAATGTCTAAATGAACTTTTCAAAGATTTTTATCAAGTTTGGGTAACAATCTGATACCTAATCAAAATGTAAGGAGTCCCTTAAGTGTAGATCAAAGTCGTTGATTGAGAGTCTTTGGACTTAGATTGCGTTCGATTTTTACAAGTGTATACTCACCCCATCTTGCTTACAATAGATGTAGGAAAAACTAAAATAACTTCATTATAGCTTTTTTTTCACAATAACAAAAAATAATTAAATGTCACTTGCAATTTGTGCATTTTGCAACTAACAACAAATAATGCAAAAAAAAAAGGGGCGGGGGGGATGTTGAAAAAATAAAAAAGAGAATAAAGTGAAATTTAATAAAAAAAAATTAAAAAATATATATAAAAGGATTGATTAATGATTTAATAGTCTTTTCAATGTTGGGCCTTGGGTGTCTTTCACGCATTTTGCCAAATAGGATTTGAGTGTTTTTTTGTTTAAATATTGGATAGTTAAAATGCCTACTTGTGCAGTGACAAAATTAAATATCAAAATTATAATTTGAAGTCAAGTTAAGGATCCAATTTATGTATTATACCTATAAAAAATATAGGTTATGCATGCATGAGGTTTTCATTGGCGAGTGGTTTTTTAAATTATTTTCTGCTAATTTTTAGATATTAAGTTTTACGTGAAAATCACATTTCCACTGATGAATATTGAAATATAGTTTGTAGAGGTAAATTTTACCTTAATTTTTAAACTTTTATAATACTGTAAATTTTTCCCCAACTAAAATGTACAGTGTATAAAGTTTGTGCAGAAATTTTAGAGGCCCAATGCAGCTATAGTTCATGAATATGATATAGCACGAGTTAGACATCTAATTGCTTCGTTTTGAATTATTCAGAATCAAACATATTTCTCAATTCACTCGACACTCAGAGAGCTAAATCTTTGGAACAACAGCTTTCATGGTGGCATCCCTTGGCTACTTGCAAGATAGCACACAATGCATTCGAACAAGTCCATACATACCAACAAAGAATCAAAGGTTTTTTTTTTATGACAAGGGAAACCCCAGCCGTTATCATTTGGGTGCGCACAAGGTAAAACTCCCGCTCCTATGCAATAACTCGCAAACCACATAAGAGAAGTAATCAGCACTAGGCAAGCCCGGTGCGACGAGCTCGACCCAGAAGGCAAACCCCTTGCCAACGATGACAAGGGATTTCGAACTTGAGACCTTCAACATAGAAGTCTCAAGCCCAAACCACTGGACCACCCCGAAGGGTGAATCAAAGGGTTTTCTAATGTATATCTGTCTATACATTCCTAAAACAAATTTGACATAAAATGTGCTCTCCCAAGTTCATCTAACCATACACGATTCCTCACTCTCAGCATCGTTAAAGATTGTGTGCTATCTTGCAAGCATCATCCAAGGTATACCCCGGGGCAGTGTTGATTCAAAAGAAGTTCCCAGTAGCCAAATATGTGTCACCAACATCCCTTCCCTCTCCTCAGTTCTCTACTTTAAGACTGTACCGATGAAGAGTGAAGATGCATAATTTTACAGAGAAAACTTACCTTTGTCATATCCACTGTAGGACTTGATGTTTTGAGTTCCTCATTACTCTGCTGTTGTGTCTTTTAATATGATGCCAATGAACACCTCAACCTCAGACCATCACCTTTGCAACTGCAGAGTGCCGAGTTTGAACAGAACAACACTGACAGAAACAGCTTCTTCAGTTTGTCAAGAAAGAAGTAGACTCAAAAGAGCTACGGAACTATAGTAATGAGAGAAGCTACAAACATGTATATCTAAGTTTGTGCATAAAACTTGTCGTCCCCTCCAAACACCTCTCCAGTCAATTTGCAAAAATCCCTTTCTGTCCTCTTCTGATTATCCTTCGGTCCATGAGGAAGTTATTATATAAGGTAAGAAACATACTCCACAGGTCACAGCTTCCTTGCTGTCTGAGCGTAGAAACATATAACTGACCACCTTTTCACTTCCTTCACGCATGAAACGCCTGCTGCACAGCATCCCCCTTCTCTGCAATTCTGACTGTGTTAGACAAGCTTCATGTCCGGTAATCCAACAAAATCTGGCTTGGCAAAACTACCTTCAGAAGGTGGGTTCAAGAATGTCACTAGGAATTCATTCTTACACTCATTTTTTTTAATAAAGGTAACATCATTCTTACACTTTATACGTTCCCCTAATTTCCTAATTTCCGTGGCAAAGGTAAAAGAGTGACTTGTTTAAGGCCTGTTAAAAAGGAGAGCTTTCTCCATCATATCTTGATCAGTCAGGATCAGCTCCAGCTAACTTCAAAATGGCGGGGAAGGAGAAAGATGGAGGAAGTCCATCTCTTAACTTCTTGATCCATTTGGTTCGAGAGAAATAGAAAAGTGTTTGAGAAAAAAAGAAGAGATCTTAAGTTATTTAAGACTTCTTTGGAGTTTCTAACCAAAATCATCCCTATTGTTTACCCTAATTTCATTACATCCTTATACTATCTATCCCGCTTAACTGGCAACATCCTTTAAGTTTCCCAAACCTAACCAAAATCATCCCTCTGTTGACTTTCCCTTCCATTGTCATGTGGACTTCATGTACTTTTATTTCCTTAAAGAGCAGAACCAATTAATGTTTGATCGACATAAAAATTTCTCATCTTTCTAACGGTGGAGAAATTAGGTAAATGCTTTCAGCTAGTTTTCAACATAAATGGATTACTTTGTCATTCTCAATCAAGTACAAACAGTGAACAATTGAGAGCCTGCTAAAAAATAAAGTTCAGACTTAGAAAGTCACAGTGAAGATTATATACTTTGCACATGCAGATATCGTTCTGGTGTACAAAAGTTATAATGTTGTATTCATCTTCTTTTAAAAGAGTGTTCAATCCCAATTCTGATCAACTCCAAAATGACGTCAATTGCTACAAAGTGGGAGCCAATGCATCATCTCGACTTTCAAGATAGATGAAGCAGGCTTTTCTGTGTGTATATCAAAACTCCTGCCAGTAATCCGTTAACTCTTCCACCTTTTAGTAAAAAAGAGTATCATTAAAGGTACCAGTCCTCTACTTTGGATTCAACAACTCAGCAAAAGAATGAAAATTGTCATTTGGCATTTTGGGCCCTCAAGGATTGTAACAACAACAATGCATTTGAGCCTTATGAGTGGTTAGAAGGACTTCATAGGCGCACATGGGACCCTATGCAGCAAATGACCATATCTAATAGAAATGAAACGGTGATAATACTAAAACACAGAACAAAGAAAAAAAAAGAGCAAATTGAGTAATCACTAATATTTCATAACCAATTCTTCAATTGAGCTTATATCTAATTCACAATAATCGAACCATACATGAGTTTAAAACAATGCTTTTCTTATCACTCCACAATGGTCTAGTATATGAGTGATAGAAGAATCATACCAACAACGGAGAAATACGATCCCCAAGAATTCCAAAAGAAAGATTAGATCCTCGTGAGTTCAATCATCCAATTATGCCTTCACCTCGACTTGCTTTGGTCCAAGTTCAGGGAGCAGGAAACCAAGACCATCCTTAGGTTTAGCATCCAAAGAAGCTTCCTTTCCATTTTGATACAACGGATTCGATGTCAAAATTCTCAACCCTTTATACCTATCAATCTCTAAAACCTCCGGCAATCCATTAGCACATCCCTTTGACATACCTACATCAATCCTTATGGCTTGGTTACCACAAACTCCATTTATCCCACTTTCTTGAATTGTATGTCCCATTATCATCCTCTTCGCTCCAGGAATAGTAGCAAGCACATGTTCAAGAGTAGAACAATCACAATCCTTTGCTAACTCATTTGAAAACCTCCTCAACCAAACAATAGAATCTTTCCCCCTCACCAAATCCCTTGAAACTCTTCCCTTCAATCCACAAATCCAATCCCTCACTTCCTCATTCACATTCTCAAATCCATAATCCACATGTTTAGGCAAAAGCCCACCATGTACAAACACGGAATCACCAACCACAACAACTGTTTGATTTTTCGATAAAAACCTTTCTGAAATAGGCCCCTTTGGCCTTAATGCTGCAATACGGATTCTAATCCCCTCAAAATACTCCGGTCTAACACCGCGAAATTCTAAAGGAATCCCTTCAAAAAGATCCTTAACACACCCTTTTTCACCCAACTCAGTACAAATTTTTTTCATATCAATCCCTACAGAATACCACATAGCCCAATCTTGAAATTCTTTAAGACCCTCTTTAGTAACATACCTAAAATCACCATCAACATTCATAATTTCATGATTACCATTCATAGTAATTAAATTACCATTTACCTTTGCAGCTTCCCTTTTCAGTTTTTCAAGAAAATAAAGAATTTTCAACTCTTCTCCACCACGGTCTAGCACATCACCTATTTGTACAACTGTTGTTGACCCACCACACCATTTATCATGATCATCAATTAAGCCAGCAAGTTTGAAGGATTCTTTGGATTTTTGAAAATCACCATGGATATCACCTATAGCAATTAAACGAGTAGGAGAAGGGAAGATTGTTTGTAATGGATTTTGGGGTTTTGGGGTTATTGGCGGCGGTAAGAAAAGGCCACCACTGACAGAGAAATCGACAAATGTGTCAACGAAAGAGGAGAAGATTGTAGGGAGATTTTGGCATGTTAGATTCGCTTGTGACTCCATTTTTGCATTTGATGTGAACAAAGTGAAGGTTTTTTTGTTTTGTTGAGAAATAGAGGTTTTGTAAGGTCACTTGACTTTTGGTTGACCTAAATACTCTCTTTAGTGAAATTTTATTTGTCATATTTATATATATACTAGATAGGTATGAGCACAGGCCCAACACTTATATTTTGAACTTTAAAGTTTTTTCATTCATCACTTTGGCTTTAGTTTCTCTAATTTTCTGTTTTGATGGTATTTGACAAATTATCAAAACACAAAAAGAATTGATTGCTCGAAATTGCCTGTGCACAACATGAGCGCAATATGGAAGACATTTCTGTTGGCTTCATAATTACATCTCAATTAATTAAAAATTTAAAAGTTATGAGAAACAAAAATACTTCATACTGCAGTTATTTAACGCTCTGTTCCTTATTCTTCTCAATATTACAAAAGAGAATCATAGTATACCTTAGCCCTCTTTCCAACTCCTATTCATTCTTGTATGTTTTATTTGTCTATTTTGACAAAACTAAATTTATAACCTCATCACTTTTACACTTGGGAATGCATAGCATAAAATATTGCCCCTTTTCGCACTAATTTATTACATAGAAATGGATCACATTGAATGGACCAACACGAGTAAGTAAAATTGGTAACTTAGCCCCATGAGAGACAAAACTTTCCAAAAAAAGCTTAACACAAAGTTATCAAAGATCACATATAAGTATAATAATCGAATATCACTTACATAAAGTACAATTATTTGGTCTTTACACAAGTTTCAGTTTTATCAAAAAAATAATAATTAAGAAATAAAAAATCAACAGCTATTAAGGATACATGTTGCATGTTTTGTAATTTTCGGACTACGTCAATATTTAAGCTATGCACATAAAGTTTTCACTGTTGGTTACTGATTGAGCCAATGAAATATAATGAGATAAGAATCTCTAGAGATCTTTCGTCTCCACTTACGCATCTTGGTTGAATCAACTGTCACTTCTTTCTCCAGAAAGCTAGCGCATCAATCTTTCTTATCAACCACATTGTATCATAATCAATTCTCTTCATCCTTCTACACCTGCTATTCCTTATTTAATCAAGAGAGTACGATAACATGAGAAACTTTATATCTGAAAATGAAAAATTAAGAGTGAAAATCATGAAAAATGAATTAAAAAAAAGTGGATAAAATGAGTCACCAACCATGTGTTAGAACCAAGAGATTAAAACATACAAACACCAGAGGTTTGTTTACTTCTTCACGCGAGGAGAAAATGGTTACAAAATTTTAGTTACATTTTCAACTCCTCATGTTTCTAAAGTTTCTTGTCTATACATACATAAGCTTAGCTTTTTAAAAATAAATAAAAGTATGGCTCTATGATTGATAACGTTCAAATATACTTCTTGAAAAGAAATATAAACGATCGTATGCAATATATTTACCCAACTATGAGTCGGGGTCGATCCCACAGAGAATATGGAAGAATATTGTCAATAGTAAATATTTAACTCGATAGTCGTTATAAAAATGGGGGATTTAAATTGAAATAAAATAAAATAAAAATAATAAAAAGATAGCTTTGAACTAAGTATTTATTTATATTCAGATTATGAAAAGTAACTAGGAATGTGTTCCCCATAAGCTCATAACGCAGTAATTCTAATAATAGTAATCATTTTCTAGTGTATTACATGCAAAGTGATAAGTTAGGTATCTCTAAATCCTTGGTCCGGCATCTAGAGAATTTCACCCCGCACCTTGGTCCGGCTACGTGTGTATAATTTACTAACCCTTACCTTTACCTCATATTAGACATCATAATCGATGTTTGGCTTAGTTATTACTTCGCACCAATCGACACTAGCCTATTAGATAGTATCACACTAAATCTATGTTGATAATTCTTTTCTTGTTAGTTACCTCCTTGGTCCGGCAAGTAGTAACAAGGCGAGTTCTAACGTTGGCCACCGTTAAAAAGACTTCTAAACGAAAGAATTATCAATGCATGCAAAATACTAGTCAAGAATTGCTTATTTACTATTCATACTTTGTTAATCGCTCATGGTTCCCACAACCCTAGTTATGAAAGTTAGCTACTCATTATCTCAAAAAACACAATCAAAATTTATTAAAATAAATATGCTTGTGTTAATCATAAAAAGTTAAGAACAATAGCTAAACTATCTTTTATTAATCACGAATACAAATAATAAAGGAGAAGAAAGAATAAACCACAATTCTCCGGCCTCCACGGCGACTCTTCCAAAGTTCCTAAGCTAGAAGAAAATTTATATTATGTCTTGTATCTTGGTTCTTGGCTTCCTTTCAAAAATAACTTTTCATCCCCTATTTATAGATATAGGAAACCCTAAATAAAATAATTGAGTCCAAATTAAATTAGGAATCCAAAACCAAAAGGAATTGGATTCCCTTTTTTTTCGCCGCGTGAACAGTGTTGCCGCCTCAATATATTTTTGTACCATTCACTTACTGCCACGTGGCAGCAGCAAGCAGCAAATTTGAATTTCCTCAATTGCAGCCGTCTTTTTCCATATATAAAAATATATTATTTTATTCACTTTAATCCATTAAGCTGTCTGCTTGATTTCCTTCTTCAACTTTTCATCTTTAATTCGTTTTAGCTCCAAACTTCTTCATTTTTTTTCATCAATTTAATCCTACAAATAAAATACACAATTTAGCACAATTCATAAAATTTATGCTCATAAAGGATAAATATAAATACTAAATGTGAGGCAAATAATGATTAAAAATATGTATTTTGACCTCACATCAACGATTTAAAAAAGGTGTGCACGTAAGTTACTTGAATGGAAAATTAGACTTCAAAATTGAAATAAATCCTAAAGCATCAAGACAAAAGCCTATGCTATGTGGGAGAATTCTATTTTTTTAAGTGTTACTGTTCCAATTCTTAAAAGTGTTTTTGTTATGAATCTTTAGGGAAGGATCGAGTCATAGGGCGGTATATAAATCAGCTCGTTAAAGGGAGGCTGAAACCTTAGAGTTCATTAAAAGAGAGAACTCCGATCTCTTCAGCTCTTTAAAGGGTGACAGAAACCTTAGAGTTCAATGGAAGAGAGAACTCCGATCTCTTGATTTTTGCTTAATTATGACTTACTGATTTATTCATCAAAAGTCCCTTTAAATAGGAGTCTTATTACATCAATAGGAAGTCTAATTCTTATGAAAGTAGGAGACCTAAATCCTATTCCAAACTTATAATTATAACTTAACCTAATCCTTATGAAACTCTAAAACTAAACCCTATTCTAGAATAATAAATAAAGCAATTAAAAATATAATTAAATACTTAAATTAATGACTTCCAATGCATCCCTAATTTGGATCGACTCTATTAGTTTGCTGAAGCATGACTAATTTGCCCATCAGGTTGCTATTTTCATGAGGTCTAAATCGCTCAAAATATAGCTCACAATGATATACCCAAATTAGTGGGTTGTTGATGTTGTTAGAAGTAGGAAAATTCATCTTTGCATAACTTATCAAAGGTGAATTACCACTTGTTGGATGATTCTTATCGGCTAGTTGAATATGTGGTATATTGCCTTTAGTAGCAGGAATTGTTGATCTACCAGTTGTCTGGGCGTTATATGACTCAGGTCTATGGGTTGCTGGTTTTGTGGAGCCAACTCCTAATCTAGACAATTGTTCTTGGATGACTTGAATAATTTTTTTACTGAGGCGTTGTTCCATTGCTGCAATTTTAGAGTCTATTAGGGTTTCTGTAACGGCATGTTCTTTTCGAAATCTGGAATTGATTTCATTGCCCATTGTGTTAGGCTCTGATACCAAATTGTTATGAATCTTTAGGGAAGGATCAAGTTACAGGGCGATATATAAATCAGCTCGTTAAAGGGAGGTTGAAACCTTAGAGTTCATTAAAAAAGAGAACTCTGATCTCTTCAGCTCTTTAAAGGGAGATAGAAACCTTAGAGTTCAATGGAAAATAGAACTCCGATCTCTTGTTTTTTGCTTAATTATGACTTACTAATTTATTCATCAAAAGCCCCTTTAAATAGGAGTCTTATTACATCAATATGAAGTCTAATTCTTATGAAAGTAGGAGACCTAAATCCTATTCCAAACTAATAACTATAACTTAACCTAATCCTTATGAAACTCTAAAACTAAACCCTATTCTAGAATAATAAATAAAGCAACTAAAAATATAATTAAATACTTAAATTAATGACTTCCAACACAACCCTAACAGTTTTCTACAAGGGTAGGGAAAAAGTGATGAATTCTATGAGGAAGGAGAATATCCATAGTATGACAAAATTCATATTTAGAACTCATTTTGTCGATGCTAAATCATCAAAATTAAAATACTGATAATAAGAGGAAGATCTTTTAAAATTATGCAAAGATGAAATGTTTATTCAGAAAATAAAAATAAGAAGTCAAAAGTAAAGGATAAACTTAAAGTAACCATGAAATGCTAGACACATATGCGGATTGTAAGTTATCGATTCACTTGATCATAAAGGAATCTCGTAATTATATGATGCCCAAAATGGAGTTGTCATTCCTTGTACTGAAAAAGAAAAAAAAAACTTGAAACTTAAGCCTCATAAAAAACAAACTTTGAATTGTTTAAAATTTACAAACACTACAACAACCCAAGCCAAAATATGTCTGTTTTAAGGTTGATCCTAGTTGTTGATTGTGATTTGACATGGTAATAAGCAAGTTAACACTTTTTATAAGTCTTGAACAATTATGTAAGTTCCTGAACTTGAAAGTGACTCATAAAGACATGATACCAAATGCAATATAAGACAAAGAAAACAATATAGTTATCTTCTAAAAAAATACAGCCAATATAACTATTCCTAAACTATTTCATTAAGTTGAATTTTTTCAAAATAAAATAAAATAAAAAATCAGAGAAGATTTTCACAAGAAAAAATATCATCACAAAATTGCCAGACTCTAACCCATTGTAGACGTCATTGGCTTCTTGCTATTGCAAACGACGGGTCCTCTGACACTTCATATATTAACCAACATTCAAATCTTTTTTCAATTTCATGTGTTATAACAAATAAACAA